CTTATTACAGCTGTTTGCACAAATGATGGCAGTTCCCAGAAAATTTTGATCAATTCTAAATTTTAGAACTTGGTCAAATTTGAGACATTTTTCTCTTTCGTGCAACCACATGTACTGTAAAATCAGTCACAACATCAAGGTTGTGGTGATTTGGCTTTATGAACACAACTTCCTTGCTCTAGATGATATTCTTGACTACTGTGGCTTCTCTGAACACACTTGGTACTACATATTGAAGCTCTGGCACAACACAGGAGACATTGTTCCCCCCAAAAGCAGCCTACATGGATGTGTTTGCAACCTCATTTAAGACACTCTGCATTACCTTTGTCACCTCATTCACCAAAACCTAGACTACTTCTTAGATATGTTATTATACCTCCTTGAGACCAATCACTTTATCTTTGTCAACTATGCAACCATTCATCATGAACTTGAGAGGACCAATATTAGCCAAAAGAAACTCAAGTGCATTGCACTTGAATGTAATGAGCCTTGCCAAGCAGCATTCATTTCACACATGGCACAGTATTCACCTGAAGAAGTTGGGTTTTTCAATGAGATGTCTAAAGATGATCATTCTGTTGGCCAGCAATATGGGCAATCTTGCAAGGGGAGGCATGCAGAAAAGAAGCAAGTCTTTGTCCATGGCCACTGCACATCCACAGAGGCCTTGCTATCCCTGGATGGAATTGTTGCCAGCATGGTAGTAGAAGGTTCAATGACAAAAGCACTCTTTCTCAAGTATCTGGAATTCAATGTGGTATGTTGGTACAATTACAATTCTAATATTCACTAATGCCAGCACTTGTTCTAGCTTCCTAAATGCACAGCCTATCCTCAATGCATGCCTTTCACTTTGCACCTCTGGTGCAAAGTCCAAAGCAATTATGATGGGCTCTTTCCTTTCTTCACACCCTGGCTGCTCTGTCCATACTAAGATTGAAGTAGTTCCAAGTTCTATTTATAGAACGAGGTCTCTTCAAATCCCAGCCGCCTCAAACCTTATTCTTTGCAAAAATCAAGAATATCACATGACTATTTAAAAATGTTTCATTCCTGCCCCACTTTTATGTCTCATTGGCTTAAATCTTTGGGATCACATACACTTTAGTTATCTTTCACTAGAATATCTAAATCAGTCATGTCTTATCTTCAGTTTCCCCTTATGACACATGTTTTGTGGTACAGGCTTAGTCACGTGACTCTTTGTAAGCCTATCACGTAGGCTATCATCCGAGTTGTCTTTCTATTCCCCCAGCTATTTATGAACTCACTACAATTATCTTGAATCAACTATATAGCATTGCTGAAGATCAGTAAATTCAATGAAAAACTGTTATCATTTTTATTTTCTCTTCTTTTAAGGGTACAACAACAAAGGACACTTGAATCTACATTATGCCTCCAATTTGGAATGCTTGGGGACCAATTTCATCATACCTACCAGGATAAGTTGGGAAATACTATTGTTCATGGAAAAATGTACACTCATGAATGTTTTCTGTCCACAAATGCTTGCCTTTTACCATATGTAACATCATTGTCCTCCATATGCACATATCCTGTAGTAAATTTTTATACATATAATATACATTTCTTGAATACTACTTCCGACAAATTGTAC